AAGATGGCAGTGGATGGCTGGTTACTCCATTTTAACAGAATGGTGGAAGAGAAAGAAAGAAAAAAACAAAAACATCTCCATAGCAGTAGTTACCATAAAGGTCAAAGTCAGAAGTAAATCAAGGTGGAAACTATAGAGATGGTAAAGAGGCTATAAAGTACTAGGGGAAAAAATGGAATCTAGAAATTCAAACATTGAGCAATCAATATCAGGAGACCAGTAACATCTATAAGACACAGAGAAACATAAATCCCAGGGAGTATTGCTTTTGAAACTAGGGAGGCTATCTTAACCTCCCCCCAACACACACACCCCTTCACAAATCTTGGCGGAGATCGCAGTACAGATGGTAGGCCTAGTTCAGCAGTGCGGGGTCCAAACAGAGGAAAGATGAGATGGATCACACAGGTCCAGGCCGTGCTTTATTCTTTTGCTAACCAACTAGAAGACACCCACCACCAGCATCTCAGCGTTCTCCCAGGATGACTTCTCTTAGTGCTCAATACCATTTTTAAGGGTAGGAAAACTTGACAGAAGTTGCTTGTTGCCTGAGTGTCAGCTAAGAGAGAGACTCAAAGATGATGCCCCCACTTCTGCCTGAGCTTCTGAGCTGATGAGGATGTTGTTGCATAAAACAGAAAACAGAACGAGAGGATGATTTGGACATGCTGAAACTGAGAAGGCTGTCAGACATCTAGTAGCAATTAGATATCTGAGCTGGACCTCAAGGAGAGGCTTGAATGACTTCAGCAGTCTTTCTCTTTATGTCCTGCCCTACCTTCTACCTTGGTTCAGTCCAGAAAAATATCTGCATGTCTGTTCTTATAAGGATCCCTTCCCTATCATTATTTTTGTTTGGTTTTTTTTTTCCTTTTATGGGGGGTGGGGTTAATACTTCCCCTAAGAATGAAGAGGCTTCCGACCCAAGTCATCTGACAAAACCTTTTAACCGAAATATTTATTTTTTCTCAGTCACCACACAGGAAATATACGGAGCATGGCAAAGCAAAGAACTAATATTTAAAGATATATTATGTGGAAGTCATTCACGGTGGTGGGTCTTTTTAAAATAACATATTTACTTTTGATAACAGCACCAAGTTAATTTTTATTGACATTAGAAAAGCTAAGAACCTTGCCCATGAGCTCAGTGTAACTGAGATGTTCTGTTTCCCAAAGCCTGGTCCATGCTTTCAGGGGCCTCAGTTGTCTTCCTAAGAACAAGAAGATGCTGCTCTGCCATTCAAAATATCTTCCCAGCAAGGCAAGAGAAACACGTACATGCTAAAGTTATTTGAAAATGACTTCGAACTTCACAGAATCTGAAACTCCATTCTTTTCCCCCATTGACTAAGATAGTTCTATCTCAGCGGTTCCCAACTCTGGCTGTACTTTCCAAAAGCCACCAGGAACTACCGGAAAAACAAGCACATTTATCTTCAGGAAATACAACCAGAGTGCTCTTTGGAAGCAAATATGGCAGACTTAGTCTGACGGCACTGGAAAAAGACACAGTGCTCGGTGAGGGTGACAAGATGGACGAGCCTCGATGAGATGGGCTGACCCCATGGCTGTAACAATGAGCTCAAGCAGAACAACACTGTGAGGATGGGACAGGACTAGACAGTGCTCCCTTGTCTTGTACACGGGTTGTTAAGTGTAGGAAGAGACTCAACGACACCTACCAACAATCACCAATAACTACAACCAAGGGCTTTAAAAACATGAGACCAAAAACTCTGGAAAGTTCTTTTTTAACTTCTGGAAGACACGCTTTTCCCTATTCTTTCTCTGTGAAAAACTGGAGAGGCCTGAATATTATCGTCAAAGCAAACATAAGACGGAAGAAAAGATGAAGAGAAAAGGCAAACTGGTTAGGGTCCTCGGGGCTTGAGGAACAACAACATGCTGGGGAGTTTCCTACGTTTTCTTGTTGCACCAAATATCATGGACCAGGTGCTGGAGATGCTGGCCAACCAGAAATGCCTCGTGGGCACAGGCAAAAAGAGACCCAACAAAAACTCTAGCCAGGCAGGAAAAAAGGACCAGCCGAGTCAGACAGAAAATGCTGAGCCAATAACTGCTTCACTCGGGTCAAACAGCATAGAAAATACTGTGGCTCCACCCCCCACCACCAAAGCTCAAGTGGGAGCCAAGGCTTCCACATCTAGGGTGTTGTCAGAGGAAGACAATAGGAGCCTGGAGTGTAAGCCACCAGGCAATGACAAGTCCCCTTCCCCACCCACTCCCGACCATGGAGACCCGGGGGAAGCCTGAACGTCCCTCCCACCGGGAAGTGGCATGGCTTTCTTCCTCTTTCCCAGGGAAGGAGTGTGAGAGAACGCTTGGAGGAAAGTCAGGAATTATCACTACCATTTGGAAGGAGTAAGTCGCCATTACTTGAAGTAACCAACAACCAGAAATGACCAAAGTGTCCTAGAGTAGGTACATAGTTAAACAAGCTATAGCAGATCCAGTTCACAGAATATTATGCAGTAATAAAAACAAATGAACAATTATTAAGTGCAAGAGCTTAGTTGGATCACAAGGGTATTATGCTGAGTGAGAAAATAAATTAATTTCTGGTCATGAACCCTAAGAGCCGATTGATCAAACATTATCAAAGGATGAAATTACCTATAGAGAACAGATTAACAGTTTTCAAGATTAGGGATGATGAGGAGGATGATGATGGTGATGGTGGTGATGAGAATTTATAAAGGGGTTCTATAAAAGGGTTGTATGATGAGGTATTTATTGTGCCAATCTGGCCGACAAATAAACACAAGTGGGGTTAATTGAAGGGCAGAAGGATAAATGGCTCAGTGAGACTCCCCTTGCGAGTTCTCGGGTCTCTTGTTTTGTGATCGTTGGACCAGGGTGCAGCTGCCCTAACCAGTTCCCTTAACTAAAGCTGTCTTAACCAGCTTCAGCTGGCAAGGGTCACTTCCTGCAAGACATTCCCGAGGAGAAGCCACATGGACCTACCCCGATGCAGCCCTGGGTGCTGAGATGCTTCCACATTCACTGACTCGGCTTTCCTCCTGCAATCAGCATCGTTGCGTGTGTTTTGTGAGATGGAGGAGGACTTTGTGGATTGGTGTTAGACATATGGGTTGGACTTGTGGGCTTGGGCAGCACTGGGTTGGGATGTTTTCTTGATTGCACTTACCCTTTATCTAAAACTCTCTTGTACATGAGTTTTCGTGTATTTGTTTCTCTAAAATATCCAGACTTATACTTTTTAAAAAAAGGTTTTTTTAAAAAAAAACAAGGATTGTATGAGGGAGGTCTTTGTAATGTTGGAAAAGTAATGGTTGCATATGATAATGTGAAACCTACACAATTCCTTCATCCTTATAAAGTGACAGAATTACAACACGCAGTTTATCCCAGCATCAATTCCCTGGCTTCATTATTGTTCTGTCGTTGTTATCTACCATCTATCTGTTAGTTTGTCATCCTGTAGCAGCTTGTATGTCGCTATTGCTACCAGCAAGGTAGACAGGTTTCTGTTGGAGCTTCCGGACTGAAATCGACTAGGAAACCCTAGCAACCTACTTCCAAACATTTGCCAGTGGATTCTTGTTTTGGACGGTGCTCAGAATACACGATGGCACCAGCAATGGTCTGTAGCCTGTCAATGAGCTTGCAGATGGTGCAGAGCCAGACAACTCTGTGTTCTGTTGTACCATAAGGTGACGTTGAATCAGACGGAAGCCAATGGCAACTACCAACTAGCTGGTGATTTAAAAAGTGAAGCACTTTTGGAAGAAGAATAAAGGATAGATAGATGATAGATAGATTAGATAGATAGATAGATAGATAGATAGATAGATAGATAGATAGATAGATAGATAGATAGATATAGATAGACAGACAATCTTTATCATTCCTGTGACTTTATAGCTAATTCCAAATCAAAAGTTGAAAGAAAGGGGGAAAAAAGGGCTATTCAGGGCACATCCCAGATAAAGTAAATAAACCTCTGATGAAGAAGCCTAGCTTGTTCATCAAAATCCTGTATTTTTACAAAGCCCAACAGATTGTTTTGCAGTGTGCCTAGCTTTCAGCACCACTGGCAGCGAGAACTAAGAGGGACCTGCAGGTGAGTGAACACCTGTGAATACGTTTGTGGGTTTTAAGACAGAAACCATCCACACTCAGAGAAATCCCAGGTAAGAAATCCAACAAGGTATTTCCCTGAACAAATCTGCTACAAAAGATCTCTTCAAGGCGTGAAAAGCCAAAGGTGTCACTTGGAGGATCAAGGTGGCTAAACCATGGTATTGTCTCTTTCCTTTTCCAGGGTGACTGGGGTGAAAGTTTACAGAGCAAGTGGTTGTCTGTTCAATCATTCATACAATATTCTGAGTTCCACAATGTAACAGCACGTTCCCACTTCTCCCTAGGTTTACTTTTCCCATTTGTCCTTTCCTCTCCCTGCCTCCCGAGATTTATCCCTGGTTAGAAGCTGCCCTTTTAGTCTCTTACAGTTGATTGTTCTACAGAGCCAGTGTCTCTCCAGTGTTACTCTTTACTTTACTGGCCTATCTACGGTTGGGCTGAGAACTGGGCCCAGGGAGTGAGTGGTTTCTGACCTGAAGGGTGTCTAACAGCCATGGAGTAAGGGGTTCTACTAGTAAGCCTGTTCATTTCTTATTATTTTGAATTTTGTTTCATATTTATTTACCACCCAAGCCAGGGGATTTTCAATGGTCTCCTATACATCTGAAAGCTGGGCAATGAAAAGGAAAGATCAAAAAAGGACTGAGGCATTTAAATTTGGGCATTGGCAAGGAGTATCGATTAAACGGTGGACATAGCAGAAGAACAAATGCATTCATCTTGCTGGATGTCGCAGTGAACTGAAATTATTTAGTGTAGCTCTTCTATCCATAGTCATTGTAATGCCCACCCAGTAGCTGGGTGGGAACATGCGAATAAGGTATAGAGGGCTTTAACGCCAGGATAGGTGAGAAGTGTCATTACAGTGGGTATAAAATATCCCATCTCAGAAGCAGGAAGGGAGAATCCTACGATCATCAAGAAGAATCACCAGCAGAATGTGTGTGAGATTCCTGTGTGGTTTGGACCTGAGACCCCTGTGTGGCGTGGCTGTGGGATTCATTTGTGGAGGGGACCTGAGAGCCCTGTGTGCAATGATAATCCCTATGCTAAGTGGGTGGCAGAAGAAGGCCTAGCGGTTGCAGCACTGAGACCATGAGACAGAGCAGCCGCCTTCCACAGAACTAGAAAAAACAGAGACAAAAATGTACCCTTTAAAGCCTGTATCAGTGCTAGAGGACCCTTGTTAACACTGCCCCAGGCAGGGTCATGGTGGCTGAGAGGCTGAAGGCCACAGAAAAGGATGCCTGTGGCATAACTGAGAAGAAGCATGGTAGACAAAAAAACGGAACCCTAAATTTCTTTTTTATCCACTAGTAATTGTTAACTTCCCTAACGAGCCTCATAATCACAGATATTGTCCGTGCGTTCTCTGTGGCCATGGCAATGAATTTTAGGACTCAATAGAAAAACAGAGTGCCGTGTGTGTTAGGCTGGCTTGACTAGAGACACAAATCCAGAGACACTCACATAAGGAAGAGCTTTCTATCTAAGAGTAATTGTGTGTTGAGAAAACATCCCAGCCCAGTCCAGATCAAATCCCTAAGTACGCTATCAGCCCTTACTTATAAGTCTGATACTAGTCCATAAATCCCTCTTCAGACTCACAGAGCACATGCAGTACTGCAATCACAGACCAGTGGGTGCAAAGTCTTATAGATCCAGTAGCGGTGGAAGCATCTCCAGGGATCTCACCGGCCTCGGGGTGGCTCCACGTGGCTTGTCAACAGGAAGGTGAAAGCAGAGAGAAAGTGGCCCGACAGAAGGAGGCCAGCCTCGGGAAGCCATTTATCTTGGCCACCCTCCAATCAAGCTGCGACCTGATGAACAGGTTAATAATCCCTGCCCACATGTGCCTACAGGAGCCACGTGGGAACCAAAAAACTTAGCGATCACACCATGGGAGAAACCTCCACTGGGAGGATCAGAAGGAAGGAAATCGGAGGGTGGCGGCATGTCTGCCCTACGCCTTAGGGATCATAGTTGAGCAGAAGCGAAGTGACGTCTCCTTCCCCTTGTGTAGCCAGAGGAGGTCAGGCAGGGCTCCCACGCCATTTCTTCAGATATAGCCAGCATGCTTAGAAGTGAGGAAAGAGAGATCCGCCCCCCGCCCCCCCCACTTACTTTGGACATGTCGCCAGGAGGGACCAGTCATGGGAAAATATCATGTTTGTTACAGCTGGTCAGCAAAAAAAGTAGAAGATCCTTAACAGGATGGACTGACACAAGAACTGTAACAATGGGCTCCAACGAACAAGGATTCTAAGGATGGCCTGGCATTTTGTTCCGTCGTACAGCACTCAGCACCCAAGCTCAGTGCCCTCGAGCCAATTCCCACTCACTGTGGCCCAGTAGGGCAGTGGTTCTGAACCTTCCTAATGCCGCCACCCTTTAATACAGGTCCTCATGTTGTGGTCACCCTCTAACCAGAAAATTATTTTGGTGCTACTTTATAGCTGTCATTTTGCGACCTTTATGAATCGGGCGACCCCTGTGAAAGGGTCGTTCGACATGCAAAGGGGTCGTGACCCGCAGGTTGAGAACCGCTGTGGTAGGCAGAGTAGAACTGCCCCTTTGGGTTCCTAAGGCAGAAAATCTGTATGGGGATAGAATACCTCATCTATCGCTGAAGGAATGGCTTGTGGTTTCAAACTACTGACCTTACAATTTAGCAGCCCAGATCTACTATACCACCTATGCTCTTTAGGAACTGACCCAATAGCATCTAACAAGAAAGTTAAAATAATCAAAAAAATCCCATTAATTGTACAACAATTTTAGAAAATTAATGTTTCACCAAGTTCCATATTTTTGATGAGTAAGTTTTTTATTTGGGGTTTGGGGGTTTTTGTTTTAAACAAAACACTTAACATTAACAGCAGCGATGCCTGGGAAATGTGAAAAATGCCTTTCTTGACCATTGATTTCGAATGAATTCATTAATTTTACCAAGGGTCACCAACTACTGGACAAAGAACAAGAAAGTCGGGAGAAGAATTGGTGCACTTAAATTATAGCATCATGGACTTCCAGAAAAACAAATCTGTCTTGAAAAAGGACCACCGCAGGGCTCATTAAAAGCGAGGCTTGTGAGACTTCAGGGTCAACAAAAAAGAGGAAGGTCCTCAGCCAGGCAGGTGGCTGCAACAGTGCATTGAACATTAGCAACGATCATGAGGCTGGCAAGACCGGTGTTTGGTTCTGTTGCACACAGGGTGCCAATGAGCCAGAACCTACTGGGAGCCACCGAACCACAACTACTGCGTAGCAGTCCTTTTGCACAAAAGGTGTTGGGGGGCGAGGGGTTGCATACATAAAAGCCAAGAAGGGTTATCATTATGCACCAATAAAGAATCACTCGACCAATTCAATGGTTTAAGTAATTATTAATCATTCTTTATCACGATCCAAAAAATACTACAGGCATCTATCTACTCAGCAGAGCCAGGAGCTAACACGTTTAGGGATGTGTCCTTCCCTACCTGCAAATCCAAATACTCACTGTCACTAAGTCAATAGCATCCTTACCTGCAAAAACAAAACGAAACTGACTGCCCTGGAGTCAATGCCAATTCCTAGCGGCGCCCTAGTCGGTTTCTGAGCCTGTCACTGCTGAAGGGAGTAGAAAGCTGTCTTTCTCCTGCGGAGCTGGGGGTGGTTTCAAACTGCCGACCATGGGGACTGCAGCCTAACACGTACCCACTACACAGCCAGCGCTGAAATGTAAGGATGGGTCCAACAAGACAGGAAGTCAAGAAGTATGTGCAGCAATCTGGACTGTTGGAAGTAGAAAAACTCAAAAGTGCTCGCTTTTCACGGGGGTATTTTTGCAAAAAAAGCATGACGTGAGCTAACACCTTTTGGGCTCATTGATCTACCAATGAGCGGCTTCCACGAAAGCAAGTTATGCCATCCCAGGGAGAGGGGCACTCACCTCTTAAATTGTGAACCGACTTCCAACTATGCAGCTGTTTTGAAGCAAGAGGTCTGGCGCCAAAAAAGTCCAAATGAAGCGGAGGAATGACCTCTTCCGGAAGTCTGCTCAATAGGTACGTCTCTTTTTTACCACCGTCAGGGATTAAGGTGTTTTAGTAGACTTGGAGAGAGGACAGGGGAAGGAGACACGGATTGGGTACTTACTATAGGAGACTATTGATTTGGTAACCCAAGACCACCTATTTTCTCCCTTCCTCCTCCCCCAGACGTCACAGCACCCCAGCCTAGACTTTTTTTGTTCTGGGACGCGATATCAATTTGGATGCATTCCTTAAAGTAAGCTCCGGACTGTCGTGAAGGTGGGTTTACAAATGGAACCAAAAAATAAATAAATAAATATTTAAAATAATAATAATAATACAAGGCAGTCAGAACCCCCACGTTTTAGCAGGAGACCGTGCAAGCTCTTTCCAAGGAAGTCTAAGGGGACTGTGGGAGCCAGGCGTGCTCAGACCTTTTCGAAGGCAGCTGAGGTTTATCATTTTTGCGCTGGGACCACGATTGGATTTTCTTCCTGCTCAGCCTTACCCCTTGCTCCGCAGGTCTTGGCGCTGCCAGGGCTGAGCCCAACCGCCAGCACGTCTGCCCAACCAAGCCCGGGACGCGGCCCGACAGCCCAAGGAGGCCGCGAGGGCGAGCAGAGCCTCGGCACCCTCGCACGGGTGCAGGTCCCTGCAGGGGGGCACGCGCAGGCGTGCAGGGAGGAGGACGGAGCCGCCAGCAAAAGAGCAGCCCCGCGCGCTCAGGCCCGCGGCCTGCAGGCTAGCTGCGCGCGGGCTGGCTGGCTGCGCGCCTCCAGCTGGAAGTCATTGGGCTGCGTGGCGTCCGCGTTGCCAGGGCGACCGCCCGGCCGGCGCCGCGGCGGGGGGAGGCGGGCGCGCTGAATGGGTGACGTCACGAGGCCGGCGCCAGGCAGTCTGGGCGGCCGAGCCAATGAATCAGCTGTCGGGGGAGGGAGCGCGCGCGGGAGAGGACAGTGCAGGAATGCGGCCCGCTCGCTCCCTCCCTCCTCCCTCCCTCCGGGGCCGTTTGCAGGCAGCCAGGCCCTTTCTGCGGGTTATCCCACTGATGCGCGCTGGGCGGGCAAGACCGAGGGCTGGGCGGGGTATGGGGGGGAGTCCGTTAGATGGGAATTGCTTTCCACTGATGGCGACCCTGCGACTGACTTCAAAAGGGAATGTACATGAACTTGTCTCTTTTTTTTTGGCCCGTATTCGGTTGGTTTTTTGATGCTGAAATTCACGAACAAATGCTTCCTCGCAGAACTTGTCTCTAGATAAAACGGACTTGGAAGGCGGTGTTGAATGCGCTGCAGCCTTAGGCTGGGCACTGCGGGGGGATCTCACACCCGAAGGAATCAGACTGCTTGGAAAAACTCAGAACTGAACAGGGAAGAAAACGATGTAACAGACTCAGGTCTGGCCTTGGAACCAGCTGCCTTGTCTCCCATTATTCCACAGTGACTTGAAGGGCCGGCTCTTCTGAGCCCTGTCTTCCCAGGTCCTGCCTTTGCCGCCCATTAGCTGGAAACTCCCAGGAGGCCTTGAACTGGGTCATGGTCATTTCTGAAAGCTCAACCGTGTAACCCTTTGCTTGCCACATTGTACTCCCTCCAACAAAACAAAATAGAACATTTTCATCAAGTCACTCCTCGTTATCCTATACTGCAATCCTAGCGGATTGTGCTGCTAACAGCAAGGTGGACAGTACACACCCACTAGCTGCTCCTGGGCTTCGGGCTCCCTAAAAATGAACAGTCATGGAAATCCCACAAGGGGGGCCCTGCACCACCCTATCGTGCCATGTGAGTCAGCATTGACTCCATGGCAGTGAGTGTGCTTTTTAGGGTTTTCTAACTCTGCAGCCCCCTAGCCTCGTCTTTCTCCTGCAGAGTGGCTGGTGGGTTTGAACTGCGAACTTTGCAATTAGCAGTCTGATTCCTACACTTCCGGGGAAGATTACAGCCTAGGACAAACCTATGGGGGCAGTTCTACCCTGCCCTATGGTTCCGTATGCATTAGGATAGTATGAATCGGGATCCAGTCCAAGCCACATAACCACCACAACAAAGGCTTGAACAAAATGAATGTCCTTGAATTCCTGAACGTCTCTTGGGGTGCTCGCTTGGTTTGGGGCTGTGCCCAAGATTGGTGATAGATTGCCAGTGAAACTGGAAAAGCAAGCATGGTCGGACTGTTAGTGCAGGCGTCAGGCTTCGTGCTAGTCATTTTCATCCCTGGGATTCTGTTTCTCCCTCTTTTTTCCCCCTTTGGCACCTGTAAAGTGAAAAGACACCGTGATATAGTTTATGAGTCTATGGTTTTAGCAAAGACGTCGTTTTGATGACTCTCAGTCTGACTCATTGTGATGTTGTTGTTCGGTGCCACCGAGTTAGTTCCAACTCATAGTGACCCTACTTACCACGCCTGCTCCTGGGCCATCCTCACAGTTGTTGGAGCCCACTGTGGCCACGACTGTCAATCGATCTCCTTGAGGGCCTTCCTCTTGTTTGCTGCCCCTTCACTTTCCCATGCATGATGACCTTCTCTAGGGACTGGCTTCTCCTGACAATACGTCTAAACTCCGTAAGACAAAGTCTTACCATCTTTGCCTCTAAGCAACATTCTGGATGTACTGCTGCCAAGACAGGTGTTTGTTCTTTGGGCAGTCCGGGATGCTGTCGACGTTTTGTCAACACCAGAGTTCAGCTGCATAGCTTTCTCTGTAGTCTTTCGTATTCAATGTCCAATTTTCATATGCATATTAGGCCGTTGAAAAGACCATGGCTTGCATCCTAGTTTTCAAAATAACAGCCTTACTGTTCAACAACTTAGAGAAGTCTCTGCTGCAAGTTTACCTAGTGCTATACCCTGGGGACGCTGCACAACCAGGAGGTGCTTACAAAGCAGATACCTACACTTTATTCTGGATTAGGAGCCACGAAACATAATCCAGGGAGGGGCGCTGAGTAATTCTTTTCTCTGAAAAGGGGGTTATAGGCTAAATAATTTTGGGAACTCACAGTCAAGAGGAAATACAATCTGAATGGTCCTTAGAAGCACCGATGCTGAGACTCCCACTCCCACATCATCAGGAAGCACCAATTGCTAGGAAATGACCTGCTGTCAGGTAACGTCGAGGGAAACTTGCCAGGGATGGACGCCAGCATAGCACTGATCATGAAGATGGCACACGACAGCACAGTGTGTTCTGTTGTGTAACAGGTTTGGAGCTGACTCCACGGGCAAGTCACAACATTGTTGGATTGATCAACGTGTGAAATGAACTTTTGAATCACTGTAATTGAAATGCACTACAAGCACGGATCCATTCATTCATTCAACACACACTTCAGCATACCTGCTTTCTGAAGAGTTGGTTTATTTTTTGATCAAACTAGAGGAAAGTCAAACATGCAGACCCTGGAGTGAAGTACGATTTTCAATTTGCAACCAGCACGTGCAGGTGATATTGATACTGTTGGAATGGATTGATCGCCTTTGGAGTAAAGACGTTCTAGACACCCGAGATAGGATGCGCTGGATGGTGCAACTGATTAAGGGCTCAAAGAATAGCTGAGATTGGTGGTCCAAGCCCACAAAGAGCTGCCTCTGAGGATGGACCAGGCAATCTGCTCCTGTAAGGTCATAGCTTTGATGAACTTGTTGTGCAGTTGAACTTTGGAACCCTCAGGATCTGCCCACAAGGCACAGTGGATGCCACGGCGTCTAACAACAGACTACAGAGGACCCAGAAGTGCTACAAGTAAGAAATTGATTGATAAAGAGGAAATCATTGCTGAAAGCTGCCAGAGGAAGTGGACTTGAGCCAGATGACTGAGGGGAAGGAAAAGGCTAGAAGCAGAAGCAGCATAGAAAATGGCCTTGGCGGGACCAAGGCAAAAAATAGTAGGGCAGTAGGATTTCATTTGAATGCAGTAAGGAATATTTCGAGGAACTACGAAAGATGCGACTGGATATTATCTGGTGTGCTGGACAGAAGGACAGTGAACCAGAGATCTTTGGATTTTAGAGCTGAAAGGGGCCCTAGAGCTCAGTTGCCACCACTAATGCCATCCAACGGACCAACTTTCTCGGGGGGACTCTGTGTGAGACAGGGCTGTCTAGAAAAACAAACCAGTGATGCTCACCTATGGATAAAAAAGGGTTCATATCAAGAAGTAATTACATATGAAGAAGTCCCCCCAACTCAAGGCCACAAGTCTGATGCTGGTCTCTAAGTCCCTCCTCCGACTCCTGCGGTCACACGGCGGTGACACAGAAAAGTGAAGCACGAAGCAGGGAGCTCACAAGCCCGTGGGTGCAGAACCACGTGGATCCAAGGTCCGTGGAAACATGGCAGGCACCAACAGCTCTCCAGGTCGAGCCCGGCAACATACATGGGGCCATGGGGGCGGGCAGAGTTCCAGCAGGCAGGAAGGCAGTCCCCAGAGCCCCTCACTCTCTTACAAAAGGTCGCACCCCAAAATAGTGTCATCAAGCTACCATTTGATTGACAGTGTTGACTCCACCCCTAGCCAGGAGGGTCTCACTCATTCACTCCCTGCCGTGGAATCAATGCCACCTCACAGTAACCCTATAGGACAGAGCAGAACTGTCCACTTTGCGTTCTGAGACTGTAACTGTTTACGGTATTAGAAAGCCTCATCTTGAAGTTAGCAGCCGCTATACCACCAGGGCTCCTGATAGACCTACAGGACAGGGTATTAGTAATCCAAAGATGGAGTCTGGGGTAAGGTCTGGGTACGGGAGAGGATGGAATAAGGGGTACATTTTTTTTTCCTGAAAAATATTATATTTGCATGACAATGTTAGCTGGAATAACTTAAATCGGTTGGGTTGCAAAAAGAATTCCTGAACGAGAATGAAAAGTTATCCGTCCATCTGCTCTGTGCTCCAGTGGAATGGTTTTCAGCCCACACCATGTCAGCATCCCTCCGGAAACTTAAAAAGAGAGAGATGCCTGGGATCTCCCCCACACCAACATAATCAGAATTTCTGGGAGTGGAGCCCTGGCATCAGTATCTTCAAAAGCTCCCCAGGTGATT